CCCCCCCAGCCTCCCGGTCCCCTGCGGTGCCTTTGGGGCGGCCCTCCTCCGGGCGGCTCGGGCACACAGCCGCCGCCTCCTCCTCCTCCCGGGGACTGCAAAGCGGGCCGCTGCCTCCCGAGGCGCCCCTCCCTCTGGGCCAGGCCCCGCCTTGTGCGAAATGGTGGGCTTAGCAGGGCAGAGGCCAAGGCAGGGCAGGGCGATTCCCGCAAACAGCCCTTTATTGCGTCCCAACAGGAGGGCTAAACCCTACAGACCCCTGAGCCACTCCCCGCCCCCATGCGATTGGTGAGTTCAAATGGCCTCCAGAGTGGCTGGCCGCCCCCAGGGGCCAATCCGCAGGTAGGCTCCAGGATCCCGCCTGCCTTAGTTCTGGGCTTCAAGCTCCAGCTAGGGGGCTGCCCGGACCAGTCCAGGCTCCAGGGCTGCCTCCTTATGCTGGCTACTAGCCCCAGCAGCAATTAAGCCAGAGTGGAAGGTCTCACCTGTCCAGACATAACACCTGGCTGGGAAACGTCCAGCGCAGCGGTGCCAGACTTCGGGGGCTCCTTTCCGCTGACTCATAGTTAGGGTTGCCAGCCTCCAGGTGGGGCCTGGCCCCCCCCCAACCCCCCCTCCCGGATCCACCCCCAAAATCAACAGATATTTTCCAACCCAGACCTGGCAACCCTACTCACAGTCCGTGCTGGACATCCTGCTGCTCTGCTACCACTCCCAGATGATTCGACCAGGACGCTGGAGCCGGCCACTCTCTCGCCATTCTGGCCATGGAGGCGAGGCAAGCTGCCCACCCCGCCCATTCTCTTTGGGGTCTGGGACCTCCGGTCTGAGTTATTCTGGGAGGAGATTAATTGGCTGGTGCCTTCGCTCCTATTTGATTGGGTGCTCACTCTGATGAAGTCTGCGTGCTGCTCCGCCAGGGCTTCTGCCCAGAATGAAACTTTGCTGACTGGACTCCAGCTTTGCTCTGTTGCTTCAGACCAATGCTGGGACACACACACACACACACACACCGCCCTAGACTTCCTCTGGGGCTGGGCCAGAGGCCTTGCTAGGCCAGGTCCTTAAAAGAACTGGGGCCCAGGGACATCACAGGCCATTGTCACTATCTATGGAGGCAGAGCAGTGTGGGATTTAGGGAGGGGCTCCCCAGAAATTTAGGGGTGGGGTGCTGGGAACCCCTCTAGCAATGCAGGGCTAAACCCAGGAAAGGTGGGATTCGCCGGGAAGATTCCTCCAGGCCTCTCATTCAGGCCTCCACTGCAGGGTATTCTAGGCGTACAAGAGGAATCGTTGGCATCAGAAGGGACTTTCCTCTTTCTAATTAGAAATCTGTCCTTGACAAATTAAATGGAATGGTGGACCAAAAAAAATTTCAAAGGTAAGTATCAGGATTCTGAAGGAGGAAAAAATACATATTAAAAATAGGAGGGGTAGCCATATTAATCATGTAATCCCTGCAAGCTTCTAAATTTGCAGAGTGGAATGATGCTCCCTGGGAAGAGAATCAGTGCTCCTGGACTGGAATGACAGAAGGCAGAGTGAGATCACAGTCCCCCTGGGATTAGCAGAAGTAGAAGTGTTCCGGGACTGGAATGACAGCCACTGGGAGTTGCAGAAGCATTCTGGGACTATCATTCCAGTCCCAGAACACCTCTGCTACTGCCACAGGCCGTCGTTCCACTCTGGAGGCTGTCATTCCAGTCCCAAAGTAGCCAATCTGGGCTCAAAGACCTTAATGGAAAAACCATTCTGCATTTTCTTTGCAACTTTTTTTGTGCTGCACTGTATTTCAGTGGAGCCCATGCAAGTCAATTGGCATT